CGTTGCTTGCGACCAGGCCCCCGCAATGCGGGCATGTGTACTCATGCTTTTGCTTTTCTTGGACTGTTCCATCCCTGACGCAAAGCCGGTTGCCGCACACTGTCCGGTGATCAATTTGTCCCGTCGTAACATTGCTTGCGACCAGACCCCCACAATGCGGGCATGTGTACTCATGCGTTTTCTTTTCTTGGACTGTTCCATCCCTGACGCAAAACCGGTGGCCGCACACTGTCCGGTGATCGAGTTGTCCCGTCGTGACATTGCTTACGACCAGGCCCCCACAATGCGGGCATGTGTACTCCTGCTTTTGCTTTTCTTTGACTTCACGTCCACGATTTGCCCCAGGCACCTCCGGATCCAATGCGCGGCCATGTGTTGGCGCGTGTGGCTGCGCGCTTGTCGTGGTGGGTTTTCCTTTTTTGGATTGTGGTTTGGGTAGATTCTCTGTCGTGGTTTGGCGTTGTGTTTGACGATTACTGTGCGGGACTGTGCTCTGCGGTGGCTCGATAGAAATGTTTGGTTTCGCGCGTGGTGCCACAGCACCTGCGCTTTGTTTGGGCCGCTTTGCGGCGGTGGTTTCCTGTGCGCCGGGGGTCGTCTGAGCCAGACGTTTGCGTGCGTGGACTTCCCTGGCGATGAGGTCTTTGATTTCTTGCAGGATGTGTTCTCGGTGGATTCGTTGGCGCAGCGACGCTACACGCGCGTTGCACTTAGACGCGATACGCTGGCGTTTGCGCTGCTGCGCCTGTCTTGCGCAACATGCGTCACACATCTGGTGGCCATCCTCTCCTGATGGATGCCGACGCAGGAAGGTACGGTATTTGGTTTGGATTGTGGTTTTTTGGCTTTGCTCAGACCTGAGACCTAGATGGGTATGTAACCCCTTCAATCGACATCTCATCTCCTCAAAAATATTTTTCATGTTGCTCAAGTCGTACTGCTATGCAGTGGTCGTGGTACTCTGTTGTGATGTTCGCGCAATTCACTCTTCTATCTTCAATGTTGGCAAACCAAGCTAAAATGGCTACCGGGAGGTGTTTCCGGGGTCGGCGGCAGGGGCGGCAGCCCTTAAATATGTCTCCGGGAGTCACCCTCAAGACCTTGCCTGGAGACTCGAGGGCCACTGGCTTCGGGGAAGCCCAGGCGGCCAGCTGAGGCCGTAAGCAGGGACGCCCAAGCGGTTGGCCAAAACCCGGAAGCTGCCTGCCTGCATGCCTGGCAGATCGGGGCCTGTAACTCAGGTGTCGGCTGACCGAATCTTCTCCGACTCTATGGTCTCAAAGGCCCTTCGGACCTTCGACTTTTGAGATGAACTCAACATGGATTTATCTCAAAATCGAAGACGCTTCAATTCAAACAAAGCACAAGGGGAAGGAGATGAAATTCCACACATTAGAATAAACAGCCATGAATGGACTACTATGTGAAGACCCATTGGAAGAAGTCGACACATCTCTAATTAATGATGTTTGGTAAAACAACTAGGGTTGATCCCGATGGAAAACCCTTTGATGGTGTGGTTCGATCTTTTGACCCCTGAAGTTACTACCCGGCAAACACCTAGTGAACAGTAGCGTTAAACAACAACTTTGGAGATTAACACTTTGCTTCAAAATCGACCCCGGTACCTATGGATCGTTCAACTTCTGGGACGCGTATTTGGAGACAATCGTCACACAAATTTCAACTTTGTGAAACCTTTACTTATATGGAACGAACCACATATAATTACAGATCTCTATATACACTGTATACCATACCATACCACCATACCATGCCTTATCATCATTACATTAGATTACATACTACACACATTCCAAACAGTTTATGTGTATATCTTTTTGTGATATACACTGATACCGCTGATACACTCTTCAATTTGGCCAGCTTGTTCTTTGTCACTTGCGGCTCCAGGAATATGCAGCAACCTACAGAGCCCCCGGTTCTAGAGAGATGTCGGATATATTGATATTATGGTGAAACATCAACACCCTTTTGACCAACGCAACCCCTGGAAGATGAACCCAGCCCGGGCCAAGCAAGCTCTGCTCTGCTCCGCTCCTGCGCCCGGCACCAAGAAGATGGGCCGAGACTCTGCCAGCTCAATGCCTGGAGCAAGCAATGTGTGTGTGTGTGTGTGACTTGTAAAGCTCCAATTTTTTTGGTGAGCTCCTGTGCAGGGCTTGCGCGGCTTGCACACGCCGATTCTGTTGTCTGGTGTCTCAGGTTTGGGGGGCCGCCAGATGTTCTCAGTGGATGAAGCTGGTGCTTTTATGGATTCACACTTTCAGCCAAACGCATCAACATCTGAAATCCACAACCGGATTACCTGCCCCGTTTCATGTCGAAACTGTTTGGATGCCGGATGCCCAGGTCGTTTGGAATCATCCACAAGCCACCAATTTTTGCTATGTCTGCTGGAGATGTCGGCCACCGGCACCCCACCTTTGCTCACGCAATGACCATTCAGCGCTTCGACGAAAGTGTCTGCCGCCGACGATCTTTGCTCTGCCGGGACGGATGGCGCAGCTGCACCCTCCAAAGGGATGTCGCCCAGTTGGCTGTTGATGTAGCCAGCCAACTCCTGTGATGCTTTAACACAAAGACTGAGACCACCTGTATAAAAATGATCCATATGCGTTGGTCTTTAGGAAGACGCATGAAGACGCTGTTTCACGATTGGCTGACCTTGCTGAAACGGAAAAAAGACTCGATTGGTTGAGGGTTCTCCATATTCGACACACACACACACACCACACGCACAAAGTCGTGGGGCAAACGTCTGCAAGATACAGCAAACACTGAGTAAATCAACAATTTCCTAGAGTCTTTGGCCAGGCATTTCTCGGGCTGACATACATTTGGTTAAAATCCTCCTAAAACGCCTTTGTAGGTCAATCATCTTGACAATCTGTTATAAAACACATTTTGTATAGTGTAACTAACATGTGAGATGGATACATATACAAACTTTATAATGTGGAGCTTCCTCGAATGTACGTTTTTCAGGTTCGCCTGAAAACAAGCTCAACTTTTTCACTCCAGTGTATGTGACTTGAGAAGCTGAATGTGAGACGAATTTGGAATGACCGATCGTGACTACAATGTAATCATTACATGAGAAAACAAACACCAATCATATATATATATATACACATGTCAATACACAGTTGGAGGGCAATTTCCATCGCATAGAATCATAGAACCTTTTCAACACTGGGATTGGGAGGAGTTGTTGGGTTGATGCCCACATGAGGCTCTTGTTTCGCTACCTTTATGGTGCCCACTCTTTGTGGGTGCCAGAGCAGTGGAGAAGAATCAGGTTTGATTTGAAGAAATCATTATATTTTATGCAAGGAAGGACAAATCTGAGAGTTTGCATGTTGAACATCTGTTTTTGTTTGACATGTTCCAGATCTAACCTCTCAACTTGAACATGTCCACTTTCTCATATTGACAACCTGACGCTTGAAAACACAAGGCAAATATATACCCTAAAACACAACACCCAAAGCCAGAAAATAACAAAGATCTGAACAAATAAACAACAAAACACAACGCGGAAACCGGCGCAATACAACGCAGAACCGGCGCAATACGAACCGGAAACGGTGTCGTAGGGGAAGACAATTCAACAAGTTTATGTTTGCTGTGTTAATTAACATGCTTGACCCTGCTTGGCATGGCCCAATATGGCCCACCTTAGGTTGCCTCCTGCACCTCTGTTTGACATGGAGCGGCTTTAGAGTCGACTTTGTAGCTGTTCAGCGTTGGGGACGGCGTTGTCTGCGCGCTGCAACGAACAAAGGTCCAAGACTTTTACGGAAAAATATCGTTTGCTTGCTCAGGACACGCCCTCAACAGCCTCGCTTAGCTACCCGGGGCTCTTGCAAAGCCTGCCATCTGGGAAACCCAGACTTGACAGTGAACAAAATGATGGGGTTCGAAGGAGGTGTAAGCCTGCTCACAAACGAGCACTTTTATCAGGAGTCAAGATTCTGGGGTTTTCCATCTCAGACTGAGAAATCGAAGGGCCTAAAAATCTCGTACAGCCCACCGCAGGTTTATGTATATATATATATATGTAAAGGTACAGTCATATACATATATATATATATTTAACATACAGTATCATGGTGCCGTGGATGAGACAAAGGGACAGCGCCAGCGCTAGTGATGTGCAACAATGTTTTGCGCCAGCAGTGCTTTGCAAATCTCTATAGAGCCACTCACGGAAGAATTGCTCTAAAGCCCAACTCTCAGCCCCAAAACTAAACCCGTTGTCCCCGTCTTTGGGACCATGAAGCTGCGCAAGTGCAACAGTATAGTTTGAATCTGGCCTTATTGATCTTTAGGGTGATTTGTGGGGCCCGTCGGGCAATGCAGCAGCAACATGTTTGAGCCCAACGTGCGCGCGCACACACAACACCGTGACGAAGCCAAATGTTCAATGGATTTGCGGCAACAAAGCGGGGTGGCAATGTGCTTGTTGGGAAATAATGGCTAGTCTGGTCTGCAATTAGGTCGCATGTCGCCATGCCTTTGCATGCGTTGACAAAGATTCAGGAGTGGCCCCGCTCATGGCGCCCAGGTCGTAACAGTTGATGGGATGGACATCCTGTGGCCCTGAAAGTGTGGAGGCGCGGCGTGCATTGGCCTTCAAATTCATCATATTGCCTGTGGCCCTGACAGTCGTGGTATTTAGAGTTGGGGGTGGCCCTGCGTGTGGCCCCGAAAGTTGTGGATTACAGTGGCGGCTCCGTGTTTGGTGGTTGTGGCCTCACGTGTGGCCCTGCTTTGCGTGCTATTTACAGGAGTGGCCCCGCTCACCGTTTGGGATTTGCAAAGTTATCAGCTGGTGGGGATCTGGCCGATGAGGAAAAGGCAATGTTTTTTGAGGAAGGGCGGAGGTGTTGTTGACTCTGCCCTCGCACCTGCAGCTTTCCAGCGTGGTACCAAGGGCTGCTTGCAAACGGTGCCTGTGAAGGAGTGCCATGTAATCTGTTTGCTCGCGCTTGCTGTACTGCAGCTGTTGGGATCACATTCTGCGGCGCCAAAAACCACACCCTAAAACCTTGCGAAAACACGCTTCAGTGTTCAGGGCCCTCGTAGTATATAATAACATGTATATACTGTATATACACATATAACAGCACATTATATACAATGATATACAATGTATAGTCTAACATAATATTGTATATTATCCCCCCACTCCCTCCCCGTCTGCAGCATCCCAAGGGTCCGTGACTGTGGGGTAGTCAAAGACCATGGAGTTGGGCAAGTTGACTCCATCGAACTCCGTCTGCAAGCGGTTCCGGAACTCGACACCTGACGGAGAGAGAAGTAGCACAAACACGTGCTGCTGGAGGATGAAGGACCTAACATTTTGAAACATGGCGCTAAATGAGATTCCACGGTTAATGGTTTAAGCATGTTTAGACTTTAAGCCAGTCAACTGCTACAGTAACAGAAAGTTCTACTAGCATTTAAACTCATTTAAGCATACAGTATTCAAGCATGATTCAAACGGTCAAATCGGAAATTGCCAATGGCCACCATAGGTTTCCTGCCTGACAGCGAATCCATGCCAGACTCCATGAGGGGGTTGTCTGCTTCCAAGTCTGCAGAATCAATCACCTGGTCGCTGCGAGCGGCGCATGACGACATGAGCAAAATAGTCGACACCTGGGCTTTCTGGCGCTTTTCACACGTCCTCTGCTGCTAACCTGCGTACCCCAAAGTCCAACTAAAACACCAACAGGCCCACAAGGCTGAAACTTCCGAAAGTCCAACAGCAAATGCCTCACCTCCCCCAAAACACCATAGGTCCAGCATGTCATTGCTCCAATGCTCTAGGCATGACACCGCCAAGCACAGATTGGACGAAGACCCCTGAAACGCCACGCCCTGTCCGTCGTCACTTCCAACGGCAGGACGCACCTCTCGGGCCAGGTCTCGCAAGGTGTGGCGCACCGCCTTGACAGGTCCACGGGTCTGGGGGTTTTGGTGGACGAACCATAGACGATTTGCGGGTATGGGATGGGAATTATGGATCAATTCCGTCTAAACCATACCTCCAACCTTGATCGTTTTGGGCTTTCTCTCCCCACCTACTTTCCAGTCCACTTTATGGGAGGGTCTTAGACGATAGCACACCTTTCCCACAACCGTAGAATTCTTCCCTTGGTTTAGAGCTGAATGAGTGATGAATGTATGGTTGTCGAAGTGGCCTTTTTCCGCTCAAAGAGACTAAGAGGAACTTCACCGATTTGGAGAAGTTCTCCAACCTCCCCAAATCTCCACAGAGCCTCCCTTTGGACAAGTGGAGTGGGAGGTTTCAGCAGTAGCTAGACAAACCATTGTGCAAACAACATAACCCGCACATATTCGCCATGTTCTTTTCGCAACCTTGTCAGCCTGGCTCAGCACATCCCAGCACCCTGCCTCCAGCCGCTCCTCAGGCGAGAGCCCCGCCAGTGCCGCCATCCCAGCACCGCCGCCGCTCTCCCGCTCTCCTCGAGCAGCTCGAGCTTCCGCCGCCTGCGCAACCCCCCACAGCAACCGCTGCGGCATAGCAGCGTAAGAGGTTCTGAAACAGGGCGACTTCTCTGTACAGACTGTGTACCCCGGAAAAATTCTGTCAAGACTCAAGGCTCTCAAGCCATTATCCCGTGGTGGGTCTGCAAGTCTGAGTCTGGGAGCTAGAAAAATCCAAAAGAACTAGAGAACAACAGTTGCAAGCCCGATCAAGCTCTCACAGCGATCTCGCACCTCTTTCTTGGCCTCAGCCTCAAAGTCTTTCAAGAAGTTGGGCACTTGGGGGTATGCGCTCCTCAGCTGACAGTGAAGACTTGATCACGCAAAGGAGTCTTTGAGCGGCATAAATTGGATTGTACATGGCTCTTTGACTGGTCCCTAAGAGGTTTCAAGACATGAACTTTCTCAGCGATGTGCAGCACCTGAAATATGTCGGGATGAAACTTGAATCCCCTTTTGAGGGACGTAAATGGGTCGCAAGTCCTCCAAAAACTGTCCTCTAGAAACTGCCTGGAGTTGTCTGGACTCCGCCTGCATCACCGTGTCTAGCACAGTGTGCAAAGGGCACATCCTGGTTGTGGGTGAATAAGAAATCGCACAAGGAAATAAGGACGTTAGAGGCCATCGCAACCTACTAGCAACATGGAATGGCTATGGCTCCTCCGCCCCTCTTGTCCCCAGTTCTCTGGTCGCACGGATGCGGTCGCCGAAAACGCCAAGCATCTTCAAGTATTTGCCCCATCGAACAGGCACAGCGCCAACCAACAGATTGGAACTGGAGAGAATGCCTTGGCGACTGATGGCAGGGAATCCTTGTCAGGATGGTCAGGGCAGTGGAACTCATGGTTTATCCCTCTTGTGCTTTTCCCAGGTTGATGGCTGGATGGAGACAAGCATCATCCCAGGTACAACAATGACTTACCCTTCCAGCAGAAAACACCTGATTCTGCTTCCAAACTTTTTGGTGACCATCGTATTTTGGGCAACCCAAGATCCCAGGTGCCATGTTCCACACTCACTCACATTGACTCACATCCCGCATCATTCCGCATTGGGCTTTCTCCAAAGCGCTGTTCATGATCGCCAGCCCTTGGGAGTTGGTCACCGCGCCAACACCTCAGTGCGAAGACTCTGTGATCCGCCAGTGGTGGGAGACCTCAAACCTAAATCACCATATGTCATACGGTCATACTGTATAGTTATATAGGTGCTTCGACCCCCTTTCCAATACACCCATAAAGAGTGAAACGATGGAGGCTGTGTCTTTGCTCTCTGGGTTTCTGTATTTGCCAGAAATTCGCTGGGCATCCACCATCCGAAGGGTTGTGTCTGGTGTCTCTAGTCGTGCAGGATTCTGCCAGTTGACAGCAGATGGTAGAGTATTTGGATGTATGATTCAAAGTTTGGTGTAAAAAATTGGTGACGATCACATATTCAAAAACAACGTAGGAACCTGTTTGTGATCTTGTTCCAGGTTGGTTTGGATTTCTGCCCTCAAGACTCAAACAGTAGCAAACCATCAAGTGGGTGGGCAGGGCTGCTATCGGAAAGGATCGTTACTTGACGATTTACCTTCAGATCCATGTCTACAGTACCTTTGGATCGCTGTTGGAGTGGAGCCTTTGGGGGTCCTCTATTTTGCGCATCATGCTGGTCCTGAGACCTCCAACTCACTGATTGGTCATGGTCTCCAGTTCAAAACCCTGAACCAAGGATGAACCACGAATGGTATGCCAGGAGAGGGCTCACTGGATGGGTAGCATCCCAACTGACCAATGCCATGCACCGTGAAGGAGGGCTCGGCTAGTATGACAGGCTGGGACCTCTACTTCATCTGCATGAAGTGCAGCTGCCGGAACCTAGCCAAAACCGAAGTCGCTCAGTGATACAAGGTGTAGCTCTGGCAAACCAGCCCCATCCCCTTGAGTACCAAGAACCATAGACTTCCCTAGATCGTTATTTCCTCGACAAACCCATGGAGGCATGATTACCCTTGAGCAAGAATGATGTAGAGTTGTGGAGACCCTTCAGTGTTCACTTTCTAAAAGAAACTCCACATTCGCGTGGTGGAATGCAGAATCACGGGTACTCTACTCAATTGGCGGTTCCTGTTGAAGTGCGCAAGGGCTAAGAAAGGCGCTTCCAACATTGATCCATGATACTCTCATTGACATAAGAGCCTGCTCGGTTTCTCTGTCCCACCAAAACATATCAACCCTTCTCTCGACTCCACACCAACTCTCACTCTCCCTCCCGCCCTGACGGCTCGGTCAGGTGACCCATGGACTTCGCTCGTCCCAGAGTATTTGCCTGCAAATGCCACCGAAATCATGAAAAAAACACAAGTTTTTTGTTCACCTTCTTTCTTTTTACCACATTACATCTTTGTTCACTCGCAGGTTTACACTTTTCATCGACGGTAGGTTTGGATTCGCCTGCACCGCCATGCCCACTTCGGCCCATGGCCCCCATTGCACCGACCGAGCGTTCCGCCAAAGGCTACTCGTCGGGTCCTGCACAGGTGACATGGGCAATGTCCATATGGGGCATACAGGATCCTCTGGTGGAATCTACAAACTATGGGGGCATGCCAAATAGGAACTCGACAGGTCATCATGCTACTGCAAATATATCAACCGACAAACCACATCTATGATTCTGGCGTAGCGGAAAACAAATAATCTCTGTTTTTGTTTTTACATGGAGTTCCAAAGGTGCAATCATTGGACCTGTATGTGTGGTGGACCAAATGCCAGGTTGCTCTAGTGGTAGTTAGCATGCAAACCAGTGGGAAACTTGGTACAGCCCCACGAGATAGTTCTTGGAAAAGGGGCAACTTTTGCTCAAATATTTTTCAGTTGCAGAATCTCCCAGAGTCACTTGCGGTGACCGGAGCCCCCCCAAAGCAAACACTCCGCTCAAATCTGTCTCCTGAGAGCTCCAGAAGGCTGCCAAGGAGTCCAATAGGGAATTGGACGCCGAGTAGTTGGCTTGTCCTGGTTGCGAGGAGAGACGAACTTAACACAGAATTCAGCACTAACGAAGTCGCTGGTCGGGCTTTGAGCTCGGGGATATTTTAGGTGTATCTGTGCCGATCAATTATATAAATACCATTAAACACCACTGTTCAATAGCACGAAATGCTTACGAACACAATTGGAAGTTCTGCTTTAGAAGGCATCATGTCGAGAAGGAAAAACTTTAAGACTGCCATATGGAAGAATGACATCCAATGGCTAGTTACAGTACATACTATGACTATCACCAATAGCATCCTCTGTGGAGCAGCAGAGACACAGAACTTGTCCGTACATTGAAACACGCAAACAAGGCTCAATAGTTCTACTAGTCAAGGCCTCATCCAGTGAATCACTGGTTCCTCTTTCATCTGAATTTCTACCACCGTGAGCCACTCACGCGGTCAACCCACCTGGCGAGCCAAAAAGGGCTGACGTGGAGGAGAAAAGCAAGTGCGGGGCAGTCTTCTGGAAGTTCAGGTGTCGAGCAAGGTGCAACAAGCCATGGACCTGCCAAGGACGGTGGTGACAGGGCTTACCGAGTCTTGAGCGAGACTTTTCCAGGAATCTCTACATAGCTCTCCAAAAGAAGCATGTTTGACAATGTCTTAGGATGCACTCTTGGAAACCACACGGCAGTTGTGCCAAGAGTGGCGTTAACACTTGATGGTGAAACCGGCCTGGCCCAATCCTCCCTGCTTTTTGGGGACCCCAGTTGACCTGGTGGATCGGCCTCTTGTGCCAACAGACTCATATGTTGCCACTGTTTCTGTTTGCTCTTCTCAGGAGAACGTCCGCCCC